TGGCTTTGGGGGCCGCGAGTATTAAACGACGAAATGGGCAGCATTTTGGCCGTCCACTACAGATCACTACCAGACACAGAACAAAGTAAATGTGTCAACCTCGAGCAAACGATGAAATAATGAAGATGAATCAGTGCACGTGCCGGTTGAAGAGCATTTGTCTGGTGTGGTAGAAGTTGATAGCGATGGAGGCCAGGACGATTTTGCGACCTGTGCTGAGGTGCAGTTGTGGCGTCAGCCGGAGGATGGGTTATTGTAATCGTTACAGCATATGCTAGTGATTCGTCATGCTGGAATGAGGAAAGGTAATCTTATCAATGTGTGCCTGCGAGTCGGCACATTAGTAGGAGGAAGATTCATCCCGACAACGTGTGCCAGTGACTCAGCACGTTGCCAGGAGGAAAAGGTGACAAGTTATCCCAGTGATAATTGAGTCGGACGAATTCGGCAGTGCAGCAGACTCTTTGTCGTCCAGGCACAAAAGTAAGATAGAGTGAAGCGTCGAACGTGTAAAATTTCATCGATGCATGTGTGTTATCATGGTAATTACATGAAGTTAACTCACGGATAATGTTCGGTAGCAATGGGTGGAAGAATGTCCCGCACACAAGAGGGTTTTGACCTTATAGCAACACAAATAGATAATGGTTCCAAGTTGGGCCTGGACTTGTTCAGTTGAGTTCAGTTGAAAGCGTCAATCTCGATTTGCGACAGGGTGTCGGCAACCGTATTTATTTCTCTATGAGTGACGCAGGAAACACAGTACGGTGAAGTCGAGCTGAAATTTCATGGAGAAGCTGTCAGCCATCTCAGAAGGTTTGTTGCGTGATTTTATCACATCGGGGTCACCAATTTGTAGCGTCTATGTAGTGGTTGTGCTTAAATCACTACAATCATCAGAACGAATCCCACGAATAAGGTAAAAGGCAGGAGGCACCTGCGCGCGAGATGTATTGTGTACAGAGCTCTCAGTTGCCGCCTCAGGTGGCAGTAGCCACTTGCGAAGCCAGGGTTAGTGTTGGCTGCGTCCGGCCGGGTCCGAGAGGGAATGAAACAGTGGTAGCAATTGTCTAAGTTGGATTACGGAGCAGGTTCGAGGGTTCTCCAATTGGTGCGTGTGACATTACCCGTGGGTGTCATGTATAGTGGCGTAAGCTGCGATGGCCGAGGGTGGGGAAAGGGCATATTAATGTGGCACTTGTGCAGATGTGACTATCGGGACCCACGTGTCTGTCCAAGCGGAAGTCGGTCAAGTCTCTGTAGGTCAGCGCGCCTAAAAGCACTGAGGTAGTGGATGACTTTGAGGTAGCTGGCATTAAACAAACACGCCGAACAAAGTAATGTTGGGCATCGGCTATAATATAATTTCGCCTTGCTAGCCACCGCCAGCACTTCTTGTGGCTGACCTTGGCTTTGTGATCTCGAAGAAGAAGAAGAAGAAGAAGAAGAAGAAGAAGAAGAA